TCTCATCCATCAAGTTGAGATTTTTTTTTTGCCTTTGCCTTCCTTTTTCCATTATCTCGGACATAATCTCTTCTTGTCTGGATTGAACTCTACTCTGATACCAACTGTCACAGACTCATTCTTCGATTCAATCAGAATGCGCGGTTTCAGCACCTTTCTACCTTTGTAGTTGCCAAGTCTGCCTAACACCAAAACTCGGACAACACTTAGAGAACTAAATTGTGGACGTTTTAGACAGAGATTAAAGTTTTATGAATTGTTTATCTTATTAATTTCTGAATGAGTTTATAATGAGGCATCACCCCCTTTATATATACACATTCCACCTCCTCAATGGATGGTGTAAATCAAACCGGACCAACGACTGAGATATTTTCTCTAGATTTTTCTACACATCTCTTACCTACTCTTTAAGTATCTTACGCTCTTAGTTTATCTTACACCCTTCCATACTATTTTAAAATACTTAGATATTTTACAAAAAAAAAATAGAATTTTTAAAATACTAAATATAAGTGAGATCGACCTCCTTAGGTTAGCTTATTTGTTTCTCAATCAGATGGAGCGTTACACTTGTTTTGGCGAGTTCCCATTTGTCATAATACATTATTGTATATAAATAATATTAGCCTAATCATGTCATCAATTTTTCACTAGACGTAACTCGTAAATTGTCATACATTCACAAACTAGATTTTTTGGGTCAGCACATCATAAACACAACCCTAAATGTTAAGAGAATATACTCGTAAAGTGTCTTTATACATTCACAAACTAGATTTTTGGGTCAGCAAATCATAAACACATCCCTAATTAAATGTTAGGATAGACTCTATTTATAGTTCCTTAGATATATTTCTGAGCTCAATACATTAAGCCGACGTATTTTTGTCTACTCCAATATTGTCGTATCAGTATGATTGTATATCCGATAAGAAACAATCATATATCTAATAACACAAATTACACTAATAAACCCAATATAAACTATTAGTCCGAAAATTAGAGTAAAGTAAGCTCGGCTTGGACTTCAAGTGTTCTTCTATTTTTTGTTTCTTTTTGTGGTGGTACGTCGTGCTGGACTGGATGGCTCTAGTGAACTGAAACTTATTTGTACGTTAGATTAGATTCTCAAACACGTGATCCACCTATCTATTTCATGCACATAAACAGCATGCGTTCGTACATTCAGTTTCCCAATATTAATCTCGCTACATATTTTTTATGAACATGAATGTATGTAGTATGTACATCGCTACAATCAAATGAAGATTGCTTTTCCTTTTTTGATGGAAATGGTTATTGCTTTGCTAAGGAGCAAAGGGTGCACCATTCATATACCGCTACAACTTTTCATTGTTCTCGAATTCTTTTAAAATTATCAAACACAGTTTTTTGCTAATCAAAAAATACAGACGTGATATTTTTTTTTATGTTTCTAGGAGGCGTTAAATTCATATATATTTAGCTAAGAAAGTCTTATAGATCTTTTTCTTTCATTAGCTGGTTTGAGTTACTTTTGATCTTATTGAAAACAAAAAAATAGATCCATTAAAGCGGAGGGGATGCAATATACTGACCGGACTATATAGGGTGATAGGTAGGCCCTAGCTAGATAGCTAGGTAAAATACAGCACGTGGCAACTAGTGGATGGAGGTGTACTGTAGAAAACATAAGGATCAACCCAGGAGAATATGGTCCCAATATCTTGATATGGAACAGACAGTAGACACACTCAACAGTCGGCAGGACCGTTCTGATTTCATGCGTTTGTGACTGTATTTGTAGTTATGATTCTCTGATCTTCAATTATTTATTTAGTTTTCTTTATTTCAGATAATATTTTATATTCATATTTATCATCATCATATAACGACTATTGCATATACTCTCTCCGTTTCATATTAAGTGTTATTGTAGAGAATTTTTGGCATTACAAAATAAGTGTCGTTTTCAATTTTCAATGTAAATTTATTATTAATTTTATTATGTAATTTATTTTTCTATTGGTTAAAATATGGTTAGGTGTATAGGTAACTGTATTTTTATATATGAAATATGTAAAATTAATTGTTTTCTTAATCCGTGTACACAGTTGTGAAGTGAAACTTATAATGAAACATAGTAAGTATAACCTTTCAGATAGTTTTTGGATTTTGAGTTGAACACACTTTAGCACTAAAATGACTATCCATTCTCTCTCTCTTTATTAAACCTTATTTAGTCTAAGGGGAGGAAATAAAAGTGGTTCCGAGGAATCCATGGGAAATGTAGCTGAAGCTCATGATTTCTCATGGCCCCTCCAAATTCCCACTTCCATTTTACTAACTTCTTCTTTCTCCTTTATATCTTTACACCTTACTTCAATTTATTATATAAAAACTTATAATTTAAACCCTTTCACAAAGAAACTTATATTTTAACTTATCAATGTAATTAAAAATCCTTAAAAGGTATTGTTTATATATTTTGACAGATGTGGTTTATATACTTGCTCAGTTTTTATATATACGCACTTAAATTTTATAGTTACATTTTGTTTTGTTTAATATAGACACACTCCACATGATATCTCGAGTTATACAGATACTCTTGTATAATACTACTTGTGGGGTGAAGTTGATAGATATGACATTAAATACAACAAGACAGAATTGGGCAATACGCATTAGAGATGATAGAGAAATGAAATAATTTGTGGTTAGACTGATGGATGGATGTTGTGGGACTCCATAATATCTTCATCATTGAAGTTCGACGCTATTGTTTAAACTTTACCTATTTTATATCCCCACGGTCCAAGCCTCGGTTATTATGACTCTCCCTATAACATATTAGGCAAATCCTGGGTCTTATTAGTTTGAACTTATAAGTAAGCCACATAGCTAGATAAATCTATCCATATATTTTTTTTTTTTAAATATAGATTTTGAAGAAATAATATCATATTCAGACAAGTCTTGAAAGAAAATAAAATATCTACAATATTCAATTTTTTCGTAGTTTATATATCATAGTTCTATCAACTCCGACCCAAAATTCGTCTCCGAGGTAGTGAAATCCTCTAGAGCTCACTCGACAACAGAGGCTAGCTATCAAACTTCCATGACACTAAAGAGCAATGCGATACCCACCGCTGAAGCTGGGCGACACCACCAAGACCAGAGTATGCTAAGAACACTGCATATTTGGAGGTAGAGGCAAACCTTCATTCCTCCGCAAGGAGAAACAGAAACCAGGAATTAGATTTGAGGATTAAAAATTAAATATATTCCTTGAAACCCTAAATGCCAGCTACATATACCAAACACTGCTGCCTCAACCTTGCCGTGAAACTGGAGGAAGCAGCCTCTTCGTTATAATCAAACCCCTCACGAGTTGAGATCTCACCGTAAACAAAACTCTAACCGAGTTCCAGTGATATGTCAGCTGGGAGAAACCTAGCATGGCGGAGAAGCAAAGGAAAACAAGGGAGAGAGAAGGACATTTCTGGTGCCGGTGGTGAGCTCACGCACTGGGAAGTAAGCCACAAGTTATGAGTTCGATAAAAATAAGGAATAAAAGAAAGAAATTATTTAGAGTTTCTAATTTTAATTCAAAATCTATTTTTTATGAGATTTAAAAGAAAATCAGACTTTGATAAAATTAGAAACTATACTTTACCCTTTTGTTAGTAACTACTCCTCCCCTTATATAAGGTAAGATGTTTAAGAGAATATTTGATGTATCAAATATAAGACGTTTTCAACAATCTAGGTGATTTTTAAATTTATTAAAAACTTTACAACCAATTATATTTTATGATGTATTTTATAATTAGGTAATTTAATTTTAATTAATATTTAAAATAAAGGGAACTTTTTTAATATGAGTGATTTTACCTAAAATATATTACATTTTGGAACATAGAAAATACACTACACTAACCATACCATCCACTAGTTATTTAAGTGGCCTGATATTTTTTTTATCATTTGCAGATACTTTCCCTCTAAATAAACATGTCAACATCATGATACGGCAATAATGACGTTCAACGCCGCTGAATAAAGGAAAAAAGGGCAAGAGATTCCTCTTTGGTCTTCACCAACACAACACAACGCAAACGCATTTTGTATATAATATGGCCAAAGTTTTTTGTTTTTGTTTTAACCGTTTAAAATGACATCAGTATCTTCTTATATATGTAGCATGAAAAATATAAGTTATCAGTGCTCCTCTAAAAGTACCTAATGTCGCAGCCAAACCATGTGTATAGAAATCAAAACTGTATACGTTGTGTATAACCAAATTATCTACGTTTTATATGTCTATTCTTGTATCAATACTTAACGATTATAATAATCTATTAAATATAACAACATTTTATATGAAAACAAAGTTCTTCTTAGACAAAAATATAAACAAAAATTCTTCTTTGGTGTCTCAAAGCATCCACAGCAGCGGATATTTCTTGTTGAATATCTTAAATGTTAAAAAATACTAAAAGAAAATAAAAATGAGAAGAGATGAAAAAGAACGTGTTTTGATGTTCACTTGGCACTATCTAATTGGATTATTTCTGTTCAACACTTTAAAAGCTTAAAAAATAAATTGTAAACTCTTAACCACTCTGATGTTCTTAGAATTAGGGAATCCCATGAGAATAAACATGGTCGTCTGTAATTTAGTAAAACCAAAAACTACAACGAAACCCTGTTTCTTGATTAAATTAGTAAGACACTTCTGCTTTTATATTGGCAACAAATCTCTAGTGATTCTGCTATTATTTAAATGATCGTAGTTTCAGATAAGCTTAATTTCTTACTCAATTATATATAACCCTGAACAGACATTTGGATCATACAAAATAAAAAGATTATTATATTTGTCCCACGTATGATTCCAACGGTGGTCTTTGTATATTTCCTGAGAAATAAAATTCAGTGACAAAAAATGATTGGATTATTTGATTAGATACATAAATAAAAAGTGGATTATTTGATTAGATAAATAAATAAAAAGGAGAAAGACAAGATGATACTTTACAACTACCCCACTGTTATGTGCATTAGTGTTAAGGATACGCATAATCATATTTACTGACTAAATTATTTGCCTCTCAATTAACAAAAAAAAAATAAAAAAATTTGCATCTCTGTTATCGGAACATCATTCTTACTACGACAATCGTCTATCACCTCTGTTTAGAACAATATTTATTTACATGGTATTACTATAACAATATATCCTACTTTAAACTTTCACTCTTATTCGATCCTTCTTTTGCTCTTTTACACGTTTTTCTTCTTCCCGCAGCAACTTGAATCACCATGTCACTACTTCTGCAGAAAGAGTTGATACGACTGCACAAACCCTTCTCAATTTAAACATGTCAAATGTTACAAAGCTGTCCTGAACCAACGATAAGATGTGGAGCAGATCAGTGATCACAAAGTACACGTACTATTTGGTGGATACGAGTTGGGTGGTCACCTAGATCGCTTCACGCCTTCACCTCCAGCCACTATCACCGTGGATAGTTCTCAAATCCAGCACATGCCTTGTGGAACAGACAAATTCGTCTCATGATCTTCAGTGGCCTTATTAGAGAAATCTCCATCTCGGTTTCAACCCATTGTCTCAACATTGGGAAACACATAGGCCAAACCCAGCAGAGGCTACATACAACAACTTCGACTCCAAATCAAGCAATGGTCGAATGGTACTAAGACCATCGATGAATATGTCCAAGGATACACCACTCACTTTGATCAACTTGCGTTGTTGGGTAAACCAATGAGAACATGAGGATCAAATAGAATACATTCTCAGCCGTCTACCAAAGGGGTTATATATAAGCCAATCATGGATCAACTTGAAGGTAGAGACACTACACCTTATGTGACAGAAGAAGTTCTTTAAAAACTTCTAAACAGATAAGCGAAGCTCCTCACTCATTCTCAAGGACGTTAAACTTAGTCTACATAATACTACCAGTGCAATTCTCAGTAAGCAAATCGATACAACTATAAGCAAACTAAAGGTTCACAAGGCAAGGGTCAACTATAAAAGGAGACATCTCAAGGAGGTGTCACCAACTACCTCAAGGAAGCAACTACTCCGACACCTTGGCACTTCATCAGCCGTACCATGGTGAAGACACAATGCTTATTGATGATGGTATATGATTACCTATCACCCACACTGGTTCACTTTCCTTACCCTCAAGCTCTTGAATATTCAAATATGATTTACAAACACCAAATCTAGTGACTAGTGACACATAGTTTTAATGCTTGACTTGAAGATTAACTGATAAATAAAAACGAAGTACAATATTTGCAATTACATTCTATCTATATCTATGATTAAATACGTAGAATAGAAAAAGGATATGTAGTATTTATCTTAAAGAAAAAAAGATGAATATATGAGTAAAATAGAATAGAAACAAAGAAATACAAAACAGTACCAAACAATATCTGTATAAAACGTGAAAAATAAGTAGAGGTGATCAAATATAGAGCAACCTCCATGGTGCTAGGGATGCACAGAGCAGATGTGTTATCAACCACAACGATGATCCTCTTATATTCACTCTTGTTGCTGCAACGTACAAGAATCAACATTTTCAATGATTAAGATCTTTTAAAAAAAAGTAGCTATCTCGATAAAGATTAAGGTAGGTAAGGAGTCATCAAACCTTGATTCTTGCTGCTATCAGGCAAAGCAGGTGGAGAAGAAGATGATGCGTTGGACAAAGGGATCCCAAGATTCAAGCAGTCCATTCCAAGTGCACCTTCCAAAACACAAAATCACCAGAAACTTGAATATTTTTCTATTTATAATCAATAAGAAAACCAAATTTGTTTTTCCCTTACATTGTTTAAAGCAAGGAAATGAGGTGATGTTCATAAGATTGCTGTAACCTTCACCACAATTGCAGCTGTATGAAAACGAATCTGTTTTGTTGCAAACCCCTCCTCCACAATCCACCCAATGACAAGCTATATATAAAAACAACCAAAGTCATATATATATATATACACACATCCATGATTGAAGCAAATGAAATTATAGATTACTATACTACCATCGGAAAGTGAGGTATTGGTGTCCTTGGGAGACGTTTTGGGCTGTGCTGGAGAAGCTGCTTCACCGCAAGTTAGATCAAAGGTACCTAGAACGATGAGTATAAATATTGGTGTGTTATATATAAATGACCAAACCAAACTAACTAATGATCAAGAGAGGTATAGTGATAGAGACTTTACAGTTAGGGATGACGCAAGGGAGAAACTTGAGGTTATGATCAAACTGCTTCCAACCATTATCACACTCACATTCATGCATAAAAGTTGTGTTTAAAGATGCTTTGCATTTCCCTTTCCCACATACCACTTCCTTGCATATGTCACCTTTTTCACAATAATTAAACCAACCAACCTTAACATGAGTAACAACCTTCTATATTCGAGTTTTGAGAACTTCTCAAAGAATATCACTTTCACACATAACCCAACTCATAAAGAAACTTTATAACCAGTCAAAAAGCAGAAAAGTATGTACTTTCTTGCATTTCTAGTTCAAATTCCGGCGGGAGTTGATCTTAATCTGTGACAAAATCAACTAACAGGCCCAATTAAACAAATACAAAATAAGTTTCTTTACCATCTAGTTTATAAAATCAAGAGCTTTGACAAAAAAAAAGAAGATTATCTAAGAGATTATACTTGTTACAAAGAAGTTAAATATGTGATGATTAAAGAAAGTAACTAGATTTGGATTACAGGATTCGATCAAAAATCAAACTTGAGCAAAACCCAGATAATGAAATTGACTTTTCTAGAAAACCCACTATTTGAAACTGGAAATGGAATGAGGAAGACGAAGAGACAAACCGAACACAGGAGACAGAAGAGGAGAGAGGAAATCTGAGGTGGCCGTCTTCTGGTGAATTAGAAGTAAAACTGCAACGAAGAAGAGTGTGTTCTGAACACAAGCCATGAATCTTTCTTTCCAAGTTCCAAGTACAGAAAAACAAATCTGGAATAATAATAGTAGTAAATATGATATGGAAAATTAAAAGGAGAGATCGATATATACGTTAGTTGGGGATTTGGTAAGTGTGTTAAGTGGAAAGAGGTTTAAAACATGGCTTACGCAGTTGACACGGATATGTAAATAGTGACGTTGACCGACTTTGCTTCAGATTTTCTCATGTAGTCCAAAAATATTTTAAAAGAAAAAAGTTAGTTGATCGCTGAAACTCAATAAATGCATTTTAAAACATTTTCTCTTTCTCCTTCTAAATTAAATACTTTTGTAACAAATTTCAATAATATAGAAAACATATCTCACCTCAAAGACATAAAAGTCAATTTAGTTGACTATAACTGTAAAACTTTTAATATAGTACTCCCTCCGTTTCAGATTAAACGTCATTGTTGAGTAAAATTTTCATTTCAAAATAAGTGTCGTTACCCGGACGAGCTAGCTCAACTGGTAACACCTCAAGCAATTGCTTGAGAGGTCATGAGTTCGAGTCTTGGGCGGGGAGAAGTGTCCAGGGCCGTAAAAGGTACAGACGCAGGCTGGTTTCGGGCCTGGGGGGATTAAGGCCGAAGGTCCGAACCCATCCCGGTTTAAAAAAAAAAGTGTCCTTTTATAATTTCAATGCAAAATTTATTGATTTTCAAAATTATTCTATTTTTTCATTGGTTGAAAAGTGGTTAGATGTATAGGTAATTGTGTTTTTATTTTGAAAATATGTAAAATTAATTGTTTTCTTAATCTGTGTGCAAAAATCTAGAATGACAACTAAATTGAAACAGAGGGAGTATTTAGTATTTTTTTGATATAACTGTATCTAATATAATTATAAAAATTAAATGAGAAAAAATATATTTCTACAGTAATTCAACTATAATTTTTTTTGTTTAAAAAAATAAAATTCCTACGACCATTATTTTATATTTTATAGGGTTTAACTTTAAAACAACTTTAAAATATGATTGATAATTTATATGGTTGTAAATAAAAAATAAAATTAAAACAATATTCTCACCATTTCAATTTAGTTGTGGTTGTAAACTAAAATTATCATTTTAAAATAAATATAGTTTTATAATTTCAATGTAAAATTTATTGACTTTATCTACTACTATTATATTTTACTTTGGTTGAAATGTGATTAGATGTATAGGTAATTGTGTTTTTTCTAGAAATATGTAAAATTAAATGTTTATTTAATCCGTGTGTAAAAGTCCAAAACAACAAGTAAATTAAACGGATGGAGTATAATCCAACCAATCACTCGAATCTGCTTTGTTTTTCTTGTTTGAGACCTACAAATTTTCATTTCATCTCAAATAGTTTTGCGAATTCCAAATAACACAATGAGTTCTTTTTTTTTTTGAACACCCATACAATGAGTTCAAGTGGCAATATTTTCTCTTCGAGAAGTTGGATGTACAAGCAAATCAATCAAACCTCTAATGAAGGTTGCGATGATTCAACCACTGTTTTTAGAGACGTAAGCTTTTTGTCCATGTAAATGTGTAAGAGGAAAAATTATGCAAAGAAGGAACAGTCTCAAAACATATATTGGGTTTGGATTTCTAATGGGGAAGAATGTGATATGTTCAACTACAACAATTTTGTTCCTTCCGCCCGCAACAGTCGCCTATTATTATGGTATATATTATGGCAATATATCCATCTCTCATGCTAAAATTAATGAATGCAGAACATCGTTTGTATAAAAAAAAATACAAGTTTCTTACATTTATACTATAAAATATATACAAGTTACGATCATGATAAAGTATTTCACACGGATTCTGCATGTTTTTCACACTTTTTCACGTGGCTCATCAATCGCAAACCTCACTTCCTGGTGACTTGTGTATTTTCTCGTCTACACGCACAATCTCAAATTTGGATTTAGATTATGATCACGATCGTCTCCTATCTGTAACAAACCCCGGTGGGGTGTGTGTAGTGAAACGATGTAAGATGTTGTTTTTGAGTTAGTTTAGTAACTCCAAGGATGAGTTGCCTAAAAAGGGTATTTTAGTATTCTGATATCCAGCGAAGTAGGGCAAGGAATCTATCTAATCTGATGATTATTGAAGATTTTACAGTTAGCCTTAAAGTGGCTTAATCGTGGCCATGGCCCATGGAGCTTCCCACTATGCTGTTTCTCCCGAATCATCCTCCATATCTTCAAATCTACATCAAGTTGTGTATTATTTCCCATGAATTTTTGTCATTTTCCATACTTTTACTTCTACAGACCAATAACAAAAGAAGAAAACTGTACACAGAGACAAATTAAATGTAATTTGTAGTACTTTCCAATATAAAATCAACGTAATTTCAACCAATAAGAGGACACAAAGAGCGGGAAAAATTGAATGTTATTGAGTGATGGGTAGTTAAGGTACTTATGGTGATAAACTGTCCCAAAAATGAAGCAGTTAAAGAATTCTTCGAGTACAGTTTCTTAAAATGTCAGTGCCATTATAACCTCTCAAAACCAAACACACAAACACATCACACAATCACTTCTTCTCTGACGTATAATGGTAGTTTGAACAAAGAGTTTCAGAAGATATAATAATGGGAAAAGCAAGCAAGTGGATTCGAAATTTCTTAACCGGAAACAAAGAGAGGTCAAAGGAAAAGATTATTCAGAGCGAGTATGGATTCACTTCACCGGTTCAAGGCATTCCTAAAGAGAAACGTCGATGGAGTTTTAGACGTTCTTCTGCCACTAGACCACCACCTTGTGCTTCTACCCTCAAAGAATCATCTCCACCGGCTCAACCGCTACAACCATTTGAGGTCGCAAACGTGGACACTAAAAATGAGGAGAACAAGAATGCTACAGCCGCGGAGATTGCAATGGCTGTTGAAGATTTTGCAGCAGTGAAGATTCAAGCTTGCTATCGTTCCCATTTGGTAAACACTGAAAAAACAAAACTCCTAAAATTATTTTCTCTTTTTTTCTTGGCCTCAAATTAGTTTATAAAATTTTGGGGGGGGGCAGGCGAGGAAAGCATTAAGAGCGTTAAAAGGTTTAGTGAAACTACAAGCACTTGTGAGAGGTCATTTAGTGAGGAAACAAGCCACAGCTACACTTAGATGTATGCAAGCATTGATTACACTTCAAGCCAAAGCTCGAGAACAGAGGATTCGTATGATAGGAGGAGATTCACCAACAAAACCCACAAAGCCAAGAACCTCGATTCATAAAACTCTGATCAATAACATTTACCACGTAATGTATCTAACCCATATCTCAAAATCCAATCTTGACAACACCCAGATCCTAAAGTTTCTAACTTCAACTCCTCTGTTTTTTTCTTTAACTCCTCTGTTTTTTCTTGACTCCTTTGATTTTTCTTGCAGGAGAATGAGGAGAACACTGAGAATGTGGAAATAGACATACAGTCTAAATTTTACTCCCCGGTTATGAGTCCTCGATATAGTAACCATTTCGAGGATTATAACACGTTCCACACACCTCAAAGCAGTCCTCAGTGTTTCAGATTCAAAGAGTATTACAATGGAGATTCTTTGTCTTCTTACGGCTACCCTCTCTTCCCAAATTACATGGCTAATACTCAGTCTTCTAAAGCCAAGGCTCGGTCTCAGAGTGCGCCGAGGCAGAGACCTCATGAGATCTATGAGACGAATACAAGCGTGAGGAGAAAATCTTCAGTGGAAGCACCGAGGAACAACGGTGTGATTAAGACTGTACGGATGCAGAGAACTTCATCTCAATTAGGAAAGGAAAGTCATCATCAGTATTATCCGTGGATGGCCACTAAACTCGATAGATCTAACATTTCGCTTATGGAGAGTGAATGTGGATCTACCAGTCCCATTATGACCAATATCAACCACGGTAGTCATGTTAATATATATGAGTTTGAAATATTACTTGTTTCCCAAGAAACGTAATTTGAGATTAGATTTGGGACTAACGTTTTATTTTTCCTTGTTCTGGTTATGTGATGTTGCAGGTTCAGGGGAACGTGAAACAAGTGTGAGTTGATAAAAAAAAACGAAATTCTTAAGTGATCTGAGAGATTACTGGAAAAAACATAGACCAGCCTAGAAACTGAAGAAGGGTTCAAGAAAGAACAGAACCTCTATATGTAGTAAAACAGATATCTCGTTTTAAATCTTTGATTCTTGCTTTTCATCTTTGAATTCTCATTGACGTTCTCATATTTTTGGAATATTTGTTTGTGTAAGTCAAATCTATGTTCCAAATAAAAATAAGGTTTTCCATGTTCCTATATACTGAATTTATTTTCTAGTGTGGTGCTGAAACGAGAGCCAGCACCCAGGGGTTGGTATATCCGACGTCGATTTCACTAGGCCTCAAACTAAATAGTACAGAAAAAAATAAACAAAAAATAATTTAACAATTCTAATATATCAATACCAAATGAGGTTTTGGTTTTAGTTTTAGTTACGATTCTTTATTTCATAAGTGAAATTTATAAACTAATTTAACCAACTCATAATGCCCAAAGCTTTATTTCTAGGTCTCAAGGGATCAAGAATCAAAATAATACACTTTTAGCTATAACAGTGAAACTGAATCAACATATACTAATATTTCTGATAATTTTTTTTTTTGGATTAAACTACCACATACCTATGAACATTTTTTATGTTTACTTTAATTACATGTATCCTTAAAAAGACAAAAATACATTTATATTACTAAAATTAAATCATCTAAACTTAGCATTTAGATTTGAGGAGTGAGTTTTGGAGGATGGATTTAGAATTTTAATAAATAAAGAAATAAATACTTAAAATTTATAATAATTTTTTTAAAATAGTTTTACAAAGAATTTTCGAATTTCAAAATAAAAAAAAATCAAAAATAATATAAGAACAGAAATTTATAAAAGTTTGAATTTAAAATGTATAATTAGAAAAATATAAAAAAATATTTAAATACTTTTATTTTTATATCTATAAATCAATGGTAAAAACGGTTTTTACCCTTTAATGAAAACTAGATTTCGATCCGCACAACCGTGCGGGTATTTTAATATGAAAATATTTGAAATTATATAATAAAATTTATCAATAAATAAGTATAATTTGATTCTTTATGCTATCCAATTTTATAATCATTTTTATGTGACTTATAATATTATTAATATAAAAGTTATAAATTTTTATTTTTGTATAATTTTTAAAAATATTACTATGTAAGATTACTAATTCATATATTTTGTTTTATTTCTAAATTTGAAATCTATGTAAAAATTAATTAAGTTGGATCTACATAATACATAAACAAAATTTTGGGATATTGTAAAAGTATTTTACATAATTTTAATTTTTTGTTTATACATTAAAAATGAATAAAATTTTTAATTATATTTTATGATAATTAAAATTTTAATCAAATAATTTTTGAAACTATATCTTCAAAAAGATTCGAAAAGATTTTTAAAAGATTTTGTTAGAATTTTCTTAAAACTATTTATTTGTATTTCAAACAAAAAATTAAAGATATGAAAAGATATTATAATGTTATGTAAAATTTTATAAAACTCTAAAGATGGTCCAAACTAAAATATTACATATGAAGTGAGTCATGACTTCTCTTTTAATATAATAGATAGTATTTATGAAAATGCTCTTCTGATGAAAAGAAAATAAACACGAATAGTGGTGAAAAGATGGGGTAAAAATAGAAGTCCCCAAGATGAAATATATATTTCAACAACTTGTTGCCCCTTCAGTATTCTAACTGTAACGTTTTATTTCATTTACCTAAATAATGACATGGTAGACGTTTTATTTATTCATTAGTTGGAGTGTCTTTAACAATTGTACATTTGGGGATTGAATAATTTAGTTAGTTGGTTAATTATTGTTCAGCACCGTAACTGTTTTTATAGGTGGATGGTCTCAACTCAAGTTCTCAAGTAAAAATTTTTTTTTTTAATATGATTGAATTGTTGGATTATGTTTTAATGTTTTTTTTAAAAACATTAAAGCACCAAGAAACAAACAAGTGGTACTAAATTTTATTAAGAGTATATCTGAGAGTACTTAGTTAAGAACCTATTGTCATTCTCTTTGTTTTTTTCCCCTGTTCTTATAATAGATAGATACCTTATCAATCTCTTAAGACCATGTGCAATGGGAAATCCTTAGAAAAATATTAATTTTATAATCATTGGATCTCCTGAATAGTTAAGGATTCTATCCTTAAAATCCTTATTTAAAGATTGATCCTTGCACTATTCGCGGGTTCCACTACACACGTGGCGACACGTGAATAGTCAATTTTTTTTTTAAAGAATCTGAAATATCCTTATATAATCTGAAATACTCTTTTTATTTTTTTCCTAAGCACTCTCCCTAAGGATTCCCCATTGCACATGCTCTAAGCTCTAATGCAACCTTTTCAACAACGACATTTCTCCATACCTAAACATTGACAATTCACCGACTCTGGCAGTATGAATATAACTTAAGGACCCTACACTTGATATTTTTTTTTTGTTTGACTGAAACCTTATCTTACATATACAAAATAGATACACTTTGTCAATGAATAATATAAATATCGGCACACAAACATTTGGAGAAACATGAACCGGTAATTACCATTATTACACAATAAATATTCTGAACAAAAAAAATGCTTATTGTTACCTTAGCCACCCATAGAATTACATTTTACTGATTTTTTTTTTTAATCATTTGGGCTTTTGCTGAGGACTTTACATGATACTTTATGCTTGAGTTGCCATTGTTTGCTTCGTTTAGCGAACAAAAAGACAGGTTACAAAGTGGTTCTTACATATAAGTCTTTTTGGGACATCTTACCTTTTTTTTTGTTATGTCATGTCTATTCTTTTCTTCACTTCCTCTGTTACTTTTGTTTTAGGAGATCTTGATGACCCCCTTCATGATCCTCTTTTTGGATATTGAACGTACACTTAGTGATGTTGTTGGTAGAAATGTGAGTTGCGTGTTAAGGAAAAAGGAAGTATATAAGCATCTTGTTTTTGTGGATTAATAATGTAATACAAAATTAAAAAAAATATACCAAACCATAATCTATATTTTTTTATAGCCAGAAAATTAAACCTATTTTGTATTATCATGTTAACAAAAGAAGTGATCTTACTTTAATGTTTTACAAATCAAAATAATCTTAATAATGATTTTTTTTATTTATAGCTATTTTCTGTAATAATAATAAATAAATTTAATTCTACATCTAAATTTATATATCATATAACTTATTACACATATTTGTTTAAAAAAAATAGATATCCATCCCAATGGAATTTGACCCACATGAACCATATTTGATGGTAAACTCCAACGCTTCGTGATAAATTGTTTATCTTTAAATGTTTTGCACGTAAAGTAAGCATAATAGCAAATGTGTTGAAAAACATCTTGCATCTCTTGAAGTCCTCAACGTATGATGTGAATAGTGGCCACTCTAACATCACATACTATTTTCACTAAACCAGAACAATTTGTTACGCACCCAACATCTAGCTGATAAAACACATATATACACTCCATTGACCATATCATGGCTTTCATCTAAGCATGAAGTGGTGAAAGATTGCATCTAATATTCCTAGTTCATGTTATTACTTTTCCACTCCATTTTTTGTGTGGCAGATCCATTTATTGAGAAAAAAAAAACTTCAGGGAGATATTACACTTGCTTCCAATCAGGACGACATAAACCGATTCTCAAAAGGCCTCGAATGGGCGCTACTGCCACCAATACCTTCAAATCTGAGGGAATACATAGGAAAACTTTGACAAAAAATGATGATTAAGAAGGACTACATCAATGTGTTCAAAAAAAAAAAAGAAGGACTACATCAAATGCTATGCCTCTATAGAGGAAAAACAACGAATGGATGAGCAGTGTGATTAATTTATGATTTTACCACACACAAATTAACTTAATGTATATACTATCACAATCAAATGATATGTAGATGTAACACTTTATACATAAATATAATAATGCACACATTTTGAAAAGATGTCACTAAATATAGTCTTAGTATTTGAATTATATTGTGGTTCACAATATTTTAATCTGCTAAGTTATTAATGAAATGGTCTACAATAATTTTTTTTTACTCTAGATAGGAATAAGACTCTAAATTAATAGATTAGATGGTCAGTTTAGAAAAAAATCTATTAAAAAATATTACCAATGTGTTTTTTTTTTTGGCTAAAAAATATTACCAATGTTCAGATCTCTTTTTCATAAAGTGAGTGTAAATGTATAATGTATTTAGTTATAATGTATTTAGTTGTTAAATACGATAAGCTTTTATATAGAGCAAACAACTGAATACATGCCAGATTTCCATGTATTTGAAAATACATATCTAATTTATTGCTAATTACTTTCTCAATTTTTTTTATTGCTAATACAAGAGGAGGTGTGATACCGATAATTGAATACATGCCAAAACTTTAGTTAGACTAGTTACCGACAATTCCGGCTTAGTGGAAACTTTCGTTGCGCTCAAATAATTTTATTTTCGAGAATTCGTCGACAGTTAGACTAAATAAATATCTGTGTAATACATCATATTCACTAATTGAACTTACTGTATTTGGTGTGGTCACATCTGTCGTGTCGTATGTTGAATATAATGAGCTGTGAGAAGATATGTTACAATGCGTTCCTGCATATTAAATTATTTGGAAATATCTATATAAAACTATAAAGTCCATATATATCAAAATAATAATAATATAGAGTTATATTTTAATCCTAACAGACTGCCGACAAATTAAAGCTATTCCTATTTAGTCTCGGACTCTCGGCACACTTGTGGTATTTTATAATTACATTTTTTTCACTTTGAAGAAAAGGAAACAATTTTCCTGTTTGGTTTGTTATATTCTAGATTTTTCTTTTACATATACATAATTATTTCCGCAAATTTCGTTAAATATTTATATTGAAGAATTTAAACGTTAAAGAATTTCAAGTGTTGACAAAAAAAAAGTTGCCAAGAAGGCAAGAGTTGTTATAAAGGTATCGAATATATTATTACTGTATATGCACCAATCATACTAATCATTTACTTGTCTTTTGCATTCCAGATGAGAGAGAAAGAAGAGAATGTTGTGTGTATGTATGTCTCTCTCCATTAAAGAGACAATAGGTTTAAGCATTTCAGTCTTCTTTTGCAGCTCCGTTTTACTGTAAAGCAGAGATCCTCTGTATATATTTTCCTGGGTAAGTATTTTTGATCCTTTTCTCTTTGATAGTTTCATAAGTCATATCGTAGAAAAAAAAAATTCAAAGAGTCGCTGTTGCTTGCACCCAACTTGAGTTTTCCTCTCCTGAATTTCAGATATATTAAGTTCCTTAAGGGTAAAGAAAAGATAAACTGTTTCTTTTTCCTGGAATCTGTTGTTAAACACAAGTAAAGTTCAAAAAAAAAAAACTCTCCACAAGAGTTTTTTTTTTTACCTTGTATGTGTATATAAATTCTGATGAAGATTTTTTTTTCCTTTTCTGACTTATTGATGAAGAATCTGCCTCTGTGATACATCTTGAACTATGCTCTGATCCTAATCTTTATTATTGTTAAGATTGTCTTTTCCCCTTTTATCCCAATTCTTTTTTGTGATTTGTTAATGATCAGTACATTTTGATTAACTTGTTACTGTTTGCTGATGTTCAATATCCCTTGGCTATTTATAATTAAGTATAGTTTTTGGTGAATGCAAAAACTATGGAGTGAAGCTTACTCATGTTTGTTTCTTTCAAGATAATTTTTGCAATTTGTCTCTCTGAAGACTACTCTTCTTTCTCCAGGAAGATCCTGCATATAAAGACCAAAGTGAGATATTCACCATTTGGTGAAAACTCAAAGGGCAAAAGGTTTGTTTTTGCATTAGGACAACAATTTATATCTGATGTTGTAACTTACTTGGGTTATTGACTTATAAGGTCACCTTGTCTCAATATTGTAGAATTCATAGTTTCAAAAGAATGAAGCAGCAGTTTACTTTAGCGTGGAATCATTTATCTTCTGGCACTTGCTTACTTGTATAACGACCAAACCCGTTCTGCTTCTTTCAGCCACTACTATGGCTGATCCGTTACAGTCAGAACCCACTCGGTTGTACTCGTGGTGGTGGGATAGTCACATTCCTAAAAACTCAAAATGGATTCAGGACAATCTTGCAGGTAATGTATATTATGTTACTTCTCCTTTGTGTCCTTTTATGAATCTTGAAAGTTGTGTGATTCTAGTACTCTTTATGTGTGTGTGTGTGTTTAAGTAGAATTTGTTTCTTTTGGATTGAGTCAGATATGGATACCAAAGTCAAGACAATGATAAAGCTCATCGAAACAGACGCAGATTCGTTTGCAAGAAGGGCTGAAATGTACTACAAGAAACGTCCAGAGCTCATGAAACTGGTTGAAGAGCTATATAGAGCTTACCGTGCTTTAGCTGAGAGGTATGATCACACGACAATGCAGCTTCGTCACGCGCATAAAGCTATGGTTGAGGCTTTTCCTGACCAGGTTCCTTTTGACATGATTGATGATTCTGCATCATCTACTTATGAGTCTCATAAAGAAGACATGCACAAAGATAGTGCAACAAGTAAAAGTAGTTCAAGTCAGCTAAACGAATTGTTCCATGATTCTAACCAAGGAGATAGTGAAGTTGAAAGCTTGAAGAGAACATTGCTTGAGCTTCAAACTGAAAAGGAGGCTTTGAGTCTCAGGTATCAGCTAAGCTTGAACAAACTATCCACGTTTGAAAAGGAACTCAAGGATGCTCAAAAAGATGTTAGAGGATTTGAAGAACGTGCTTGCAAAGCTGAGATTGAGATGAAAGTACTCAAGGAGTCTCTTGCAAAGCTAGAGGTGGAGAGGGACACAGGGCTTCTTCAGTATAATCAATCCATGGAGAGAATAGCGGATTTGGAAGCAACGGTTTCTCATGAGCAAGAACAAGGCAAGGGACTCAGTGACAGAACATCTAAAGCAGAAAGAGAAGCTAATAGTCTCAAGCAAGAGCTGTCTAGATTGCAATCTGAGAAAGAGGCTGGGTTGGTGCAATACAATCAATGCCTTGAGTTGGTATCTGTTTTAGAGAAGAGGATTAGAGATGCTGAGGAGAGTATTGAAACGTTCAAGGAAAAATCTGAGCAAGCAGAAAATGAGATCAAAGCTTTGAAACAACAACTTCTTAAGTTACATGAAGTGAATGAAGACTTGAGTGTTAAATATCATCAGTGTTTAGAGACAATATCAAATTTAGAGAGGGAAGTTTCTCATGCTCAAGACAATGCCAAAAGACTAAGCAGTGAAGTTCTTGCTGGAGCTGCAAAGGTAAAGACTGTGGAGGAACAATGTTCTCTTCTGGAGAGCCACAATCAAAATCTGAAGGTGGAAGCAGATAATCTAGCGCAGAAGATGTCAGCTAAAGATCAAGAACTTGTTCAGAAGCAAAACGAGCTTGAAAAGCTCCAAGCTCTAATGCAAGAACAACAGTTCCGGTTTTCGGAACTTGAAACTAGTCTTAGAAGTTTGGAGAGTTTGCATTCTCAATCTCAAGAGGAACAGAAAGTTCTCACCATGGAACTCCAAAGCAAGGCTCAGATCTTGAGAGAACTTGAGAATAGCGAAACAAATGACTCTTCCACTACTATCACCTTGCAGATACAGAGGAATGAGATCTCTTGCTTGAATAAGATGAAAGAAAAGCTTGAGGAAGAAGTTGCAAAGCAGATGAATCAGAGCAGTGCTCTTCAAATAGAGATACACCGTGTGAAGGGCTATATGGAGAACTTGAATAGGAGCTTCCAACAGTTAATTGAACAGGTGAGACTCACAGGTTTTGATCCATCATCACTTGTCTTCTCAGTGAAAAAACTACAAGAAGAGAACTCAAAGCTTCTCCAGTTATGTTCCAAACAGAGAGATGATAAAGAAGCTCTAACAAGAAAGCTGTCTGAAATGGATAACATTGTAAGGAAGAATGCTGATTTGGAGAAACTGCTTTTGATATCAAACACAAAACTAGACGGTTCTAAAGAGAAAGCAGAGAATCTGCTAGAAAGATGTGAGTCTTTAAGAAGAGAGAGATCTGAGCTTGCTGTTGAGAGAACAAACTTGTTTTCTCAGTTACAGATCATGACTGTGAATATGCAGAAGCTCTTGGAGAAGAACTCTTTACTGGAGAGATCTCTTTCTAATGCCAACATTGAGCTTGAAAGTCTAAAGGACAAGTCAAAGTGCTTTGAAGAGTTGATCACTTTGCTCAAGAATGATAAGTCTGAACTTATAAAGGAGAAAGAATCTCTTGTGTCTCAATTGCATAACGTTGAGGAGAAGCTAGGAGTCTTGGAGAAGAATTTTACAGAGCTAGAAGTAAAATACTCTGATCTACATAGTGAGAAGAAGCTCAAGAGCCTTCAAGTAGAAGAGTTACAAGTCTCACTTTCCACTGAGAAGCAGGAGCATGATGATTATAAGAGATCTACTGAAAGCAGATTAGCAGATCTTCAGAGGAACGTGAGCCTTCTTAGAGAAGAGTGTCGCTCAAGGAAAAGAGAGTATGAGGAAGAGCTTGACAGAGTTGTAAACAAACAAGTAGAGATCTTCATCTTGCAAAAGCTTATAGAAGAGTTGGAGCAGAAGAACTTCTCTCTTCTGATTGAGTGTCAGAAGCATGTGGAAGAATCAGAACTTTCAGAGAAGCTTATTTCTGAACTGGAGAGTGAGAATCTTGAGCAGCAGATGGAAGCAGAGATCTTCTTGGATGAGATTGATAGCTTAAGGAGTGCAATCTATCAAGTGGTGAAGGCACTTCAAGTTGAAGCAGAAGACTGTAAGACTTCACAACAGAAGATTACAAAAGACCAAACATCACGTGTTGTGGGAGAGATTAATGGGTTAAAGTGTTCACTTTCAAGCGCTGAATATGAGATGCATAGACTTGTGGTTGAGAACTCAGTGCTCTTATCTCTACTTGGGCAGTTTCATTCAGATGGTTTGATGTTAGAAAAGGACAAGCAAGAATTAATGGAAGCGAACCGGTTGTTGAAATCAGAACTAATCAGAAGAGAGCAACAAGAGCAAGAGCTCAGAGCTGAAACACAAACGGAGCATTCAAAATTTGAGATTTTGAATGAGTCATACATTGTTTTGAAACAAGAGTACTCCTCTATACTCAGCGTTAACAAAACTTTGCTTACAGAGTTGGCAGAACTTAAAAGTGGAATGTGTATAGCTGAGGAAGAAAAAGATGCAACTCTTCAGGAAGCTGTTGCGTTGAGTAACATGTGTGTGTTTTACAGGTCCTTTGGGTCTGAAATGGCTGAAGAGGTCAAAGCTTTTGCTGAAACTGTTAGCAGTTTACGAGAAATTAATATGGACCTGAAGCACAAGGTTGAGACACTTGAGGAGAGGTTAAAAGGAAAGGAGGAAGAAAATAAAGGTCTTGACAAGAAGCTGGAGAAGTTACAAGAAGGCCTTGAAGTAGACAACTTCTTAAATGGAATATTGGAACATCAGGTTCTTGATGTAGACGAAATCTTGGAACACAGGGAAATAGAGATCACAGAAGCAGAGAATATGCTCAAGGCTACACAGAGTGAAAATGAAGAACTGCACAAAGAAGTTGAGGAGCTGAGGAAAGGCTTTGAAGAATCAAGAAACATGAGGGGAAACTTACAGAGGCAGATTTTTGAAATGTCAGATTTGGCTGGGAGGCAGGAGGAAGAGATAAGAAAACTCAACACTTTGAATGAGGATTTGGAGTCAAAGATAGAGTTATTACATAAAGAAGTGCAAAGCAGACAGCTTAGAGAAGAGTTACTTAGTTTGGAGCTGCAAGAGAAAAGCAATGAGGTTGTACTTTGGGATGCTGATGCAACATCTTTCTACTCTGATCTTCAAATCTCATCTATCCGCGAATTCTTTCTTGAGAACAAAATTAAAGAACTCAATGGAGTTTGTGAAAATCTCAAAGATGAAGCTGTTGCAAAGACTAAGAAGATGAAACAGATGAAAGAAAGAGTTAGATTTTTGGAGTCTCAAGTGACTGAGCTAAACACTCAGTTGTCAGCTTATGATCCTGTGATAGCATCTTTGGCAAAAGATGTAACATCTCTTGAGAAAAGTAGTCAGGCTTTGACAAAATTTCCTGAACCAGCCTATCAACAAATAGAGGTAAACTTTCTAAGTCTTCCTTCTATTTCAAATGTGTAAGCTCATCTTCATGAACTAAACTAAACCCATTTTCTTCAGGAAGAAGCGGTTTGTCAAGAGTCTGAAGAAAGTGGAAGCATCACTACTCCAGGAAATGGAATTGTGATTCAGCAGGAAATGAAACCAAAGCTTGTAAGGCAAAGAACACGAAGAGGGGCGTTCCACAAAAGCAGAAGCCGCAAGAAGATTGAAGAGATACAACGTGAGGACAACATGATCACCGGTGAATCTAGCCGACCAAGATTGAGGCCTCAGATGAGGGAAGTGAAAAATTACAAGATGTTAGAGTTTTCGGAAGAATATGCTGAATCAGAGACCCGTGTAAAGCTTAAGAGGCCATATCGCCTAAGCCGGAATCCTTCTTTAGAATCTGAGAGAGTGGTTGGAGTTGATGACAAGCAAGACTTATCTAGCAACATAGAAGACAAGGCAAAGATCATGGAGAGACTTTTGTCTGATTCAAGAAGATTGTTAAGTCTCCGGATTAGCCTAACAGAAATGAAAAGCAAGCTTGAGATGAACGGGAAACAAGGCAAAGTCAGCAAAGCTGATATTGTTATAGTGAAGAGACAGTTGAAAGAAATGGAAGAAGCCGTCTTGCAGATGACAAACACAAACGAGATTCTTTCAAAGGAAACTGAGGAGACATCAGGAGATTCAAGAGATATATACAGAAAAGTGATTATGGAGAAGTCAAGAAACGGGTCTGAGAAGATTGAGCAGCTGCAGAACAAAATGCAGAGCATTGAGGAAGCTGTTCTGAAGCTTGAAGACGGAGGTAAAAGCAAGGGAAGTAGGACAATGATTCTCTTCAGAGACATTATGCACAAGGGCGGGAAAAGAACTGCAAGACAGAAGAAAAACCGGTTCTGCGGATTTATAAGATCTTCATCTAAAGAAGAGTAGGATCTAGAAGTACTATATGGTAATGATTTGAAATAATGGAGCAATTTGCATACTAAGATATCTCCTTATTATATTACAACAATTTCAGGAATCAAGAGAAGAAACTTATATATATTACAAGAAATGTTTGGCATTATTGTGAAGAACATGATGGATTGACATCTTTATTACACAACCACTGGACTAGTCTACAGACACTGATGTGTGCTAAACTTAATAGTACCAACTAGAAGTTGACTTCTATCATAATCTCTCACCTTGAAAAAGATTCAAAGAATTTTTAATAGCTACACGGTGTAGCCTACAAACACACAAAATGCTTTTTAGTGTTTAGGAGTGAGTGAAGGAAACGTTGGAATCGACTGCAGTATCAGTTTCCTCCCACCACTTCTTCTCCCTAAGACTGACCCTGAGCTTGATGAGTCCAGATGAGGAGGAGAGACCCTCTTACCATTGGGAGAGACAGCCTTGGTGTTGTTATCTATATGGGAGTGGCTAAGAATCTCAGGCATTTCTTCAGCTCCATCCTCTGCGACTGTCTCCAATGACTTCTTAGTCCGAGAATGAGTCAAACTAATTTCCGGTTTTCTTGTATATTGACTGTTAAATGAAGATCCACCTCCAAGTACAGACTGTGGAGGAGGCATCATGTTCTTTAGCTGAACCATTTGTTCTCTGAACAACACACAAAAAAAAAAAAACAATTCAGGTGACATTAGACTTCACAAGCAAACAACAAAACATCTTCAGAGTTAGAGACTGTACCTGTAAATAGACATTGGCGTTGCAGGTAGAGCAGAACTCTCTTCCTTTCTCATTAAATAAACCTCAGTGTTGTAGTCTTGCTTTTTGGTTCTTCTGTTCTTCTCAGATGTTTCATTTTCCTCCTCTTGTTCAGCTTCCATGTCAACAATGGAAGATCCTGAGATATTCATTTAAGTAAGAATCAGAATCATTAAAGAGAACTAGCAATGAAAACTCAGAAGAAGAGAAGCTTAACCATCTTTGCGACCAAACGCGTTTTTACACCCTTCACATCTACAGTTTATGGAACATCCCACCCCACCCTATAAAGAAACATCAGACCAAGAGTCAGAACAATAAGAAGTTAAACACATAGATCCATGGGAAGTACAAAGAAAAAAAATTAAAAACCTGGAAGCATTCACAGTATTTCTTCAGACAGTTTGATTTCTTGCAGTTGCATCCACGTTTATGGCGTGCCGAAGCTGGAGTTTTGCTTGCATCCTCCTGTATGTCATTACACTTTTATTACATTCCTTCAAACATGACTTTAGGAGCTGAATTAAAATAAAAATAAATTTACCCCGGTTTCTAGAACCAAATCAGAGCTCTTAATGACTTTAGGAGCAAATGCAAGTGGGTTCCGAGATTCAATCTGCTTGCGAGTAGCCAAGACAGTATCTTCATGAATAGGCTTGTTGAAGCAATCTATACATGAGCATGGCTCTATGCAATAAACTCCAGCAGCAAAACATTCACAATATCTGCACATAAAGATCAAGAAACTCAACAACACCAAACGTTTTCAAGACCCTAAGATCCAAGTAAGTGGAATCATGAAGCTTACAGTTTCAAGCACTTGGACTTTTTGCAGTTACATCGCTTACATGATTCCCCTTCTCCAGCTTCCAACTTAACCCTGTGTAATTTACAAATAGCCAACGGTTATTAAAACAGAGAAGAAAAAAAAACCTATTACAAATTGCTTTTCTCTCAGGATAAACAAACAAACTTGCCTCTTCTTCTTAGGGCTGCTCAAATGCAACTCTTCCAAAGTTGGTTCAACGGCTTCAATTTCTGTTTGGTCCAATGCTTCTTGCAGTGTAGAACTTGAACCTTGTAGATCCACTTGATACTTCTCAGAACACGAGTAATCATGAGTGGTATTGGTTTTACAGTCCTTTGTGGACATTAAAATGGCATTCAGATGAAGACCAATACTCGGTACAACACATCTCGACGAGGATCCACAAGCAGCAGTGTTGTTCTCACTCGACGTTTGCTTGTTCCCTGGCATCTCAAAGTCCAGACAGCGTCTTCTTATACCACGGTGCAAGACTGAAACAGCCTATCACAAACAAAACAAACACCAAGAAGACTCAGACACAAAGATCATTTATCAGACAATAATTGAGATATGATTTTTGAGTTCTTACCCCATAAGGACTTGCGGTTGAAGACTCCGGTTCATTTATTGAACCAGGCTGCATGGTTTGCATCACTGAAGGTGCTTGAGAGGGTGATGCTCTCTGCATCATAAGGCATCTAAAAGCCTCTGAATCATTAGGTGACCCAAAGATTAAGAACTCAGAAGAATCTGCAATCAAACTATCCCAATCCGGAGTTTCGTTTTTCCCTTGAACATTGTCATACATCTTCTGCATCCCAGCATCCTCAGATGAAGAACCATTCTCTTCTCTAGGAGGAGAAGCGTATGGCACAAGCGAAAGATCCGTGGTCTCTCTACCACAAGGTGGAACAGCAAGGGGATCATCAAGATTCGTTTCCTTAACGATTTGTGGCTGCTCCATTTCAACATCTATGTTGAATTCTGTAGTAGTAGAAGTAGCTTCTGCTTCTGCTACAACTTCTTCATTTGCAGTAGATTTGTCTGGAGATTCTTGCAGGGGATTGGTAGGATCAGAAGAAGAAGGGTGATGAGTTTTGAAGAATCTTGATTCTTTGTGAGAAGAAGTTAGGTGTGGTGAAGTGAAAACAGAGGGAGGGGAAGTGAAATTGAGAGTGCTGAACTGGTGAGGATTTTGGATGGATTTGACAGGTCTTATTGGAGACAAACTGTTTATGTAATTGAACACTGGAGAATCCTGCATGTTCGGACAATAACCAAAAAGGAAGGAAAAATTATAAAACTTTTATTTTTTTGTCATGATGATACTAATAAGAGCAAAAGATTCAGAGATTCCAATAAAAGAATCTTAAGGAATTGTAATTCGTAACTGAACAAAAAAAAAGAATCATTACAAACAGTTCAGACAAAAAAGTACAGATTCAATAGTGAACTGGGGAATGTTTGGTCATAATTATACGTGTGAACAACTGAAACTGTCAAAATTAAAAACAAATCTTAAACCAGTTACCATTCTGCTGTGTTTCTGAATAAACTGCTTTGACTTGAAAATGAAAAACCAGTAAAATGAGGAAATTAAGGTAAGAGTAAACTAAAGATCAAAGATACCAGTTAAAAAAAATCTTTGGAAACAGTAGAGATTTTGTAGTGAATTGTGTTGTGAAGTATGAACAAATAAAACCGCCGAAGTAAAACAAACCTAAAACCATTTACCACTACTATGTTGTGTCGTTGAACTTAACTGCTTTGACTTTTAATAAAACCAGAAAAAAAAAATTAAGGAGACTTAAAAAGACATATAATAGTCTCTGATTTTTGTAAGAAAACTGGTCGATTAAACCTATGAAATCTGAATTTTCTTATACGAAATGGTCGAAAATGCATCAAAACTTACAGAATTGGTCACCACATAAGCAGGAGAAACTAAAGTACTAAAACATTGACCAAAAACAATGAATAGGGGTTAATAATAGAAAAGTAAACCTCAAATCTGGATTTGGAAATTGGAGTTTCGATATGAGTAATGCTCTTCTGAGGAGTGTCCATTTTTCAACACTGAAAACAAATCACAACCACACTCTCTTTGTCTCTCTTATCTCTGAAGGAAGAAAGAAAGAAAGAAAGTCTCACACTACTTTCTCTTTCTCTATCTGTTTTTTAGTGGAAGAAGAAGAAGAGAGAGAGATTCAAACAAGAGCAGAAGCGGGAAATGAAGATAATTGTCAGAAACAGACCCACCACTTTGTCTTTCCCTAACAACTGTTTCTCTGTCTCTGTATATGTATACACAAGTGTACGAGTATCTCTCGCTCACTCTGTGAATAGTGGGTGTGGATCAATGAATCCTTGATACCTTGCGTTGTCTACAATCAAGCCAAGTTAATATTACTTCTCGATTCTTGCCTTTTAATAAAGTAACGGACACTAATTTTTTTTTATTTCATTTTTTTTTGCTCTTTTTCCTTTTATTTATCTTTTTGTTTTACTGGAAGAAAATATTACAGTTCTGTTCACTGCTTCTCTTTTGTTTGCATGCAAATAGAATTATTTCCTCTCTCTTTGTTAAGTGGTTTTATGTAAATCGAGATTTTTTTTCACTAATAAAGAATAAATAACTTTAGCTTATTTGGTCAAATGTTTTTGAGAAAATATAGATTTGGTATAATAATACCCAAAACAGTCAGTCAATTATTCTACAAGAGATTTTCTTTTATCGCCATTCCAACTGAAGATTTGGTACCAATAAACCAATAATGTTGTTTTTTTACAAAAAGGCTTTTGACTATAGCTGAAAACCAATAATGTTGTTTTACCATAAATAAATGCAGTCTTGTTTTAAGATTTTTTTTCTATTTTTTCTTTCAAGACTGGTAGAGAATTTTTAAAAAGATTTAATAAAAAGGAGCATATTATAAGGCTGGAACCGGGAGGATTACAAGAAAGAGATGATTTTTAATTATGACACATATATTAGAAATTTATTGGTCAATTATTAAGAATATTAGTAATTAATTGGGATCAAAACAAAGGTTATACTACAACGTTTCTATAAACTCAAGTACACATGATTGCATAAAATTACGTCGGCCTTTCATTGTCATAAACATTCTTGTACGAACCTGTTTAACTATAATAGTTCTCTAATTGTAGTTACTTTTGTAATTATTTGTACACGCCTCTGACAAATAATTGCATAAGTTTGTTTGTTCGGCTTTATTCTTACTGTACCAACGATTGGTCCTAACTCCTAACTCCTAACGAAAGCGATTTACTCTCTACCACAGAGTTACTAAATAGAAATTACAAAAAAGAAAGAGTTACTAAATAGACCCAAACATATTTACTGTTATAAAATGTATTAGAAATGTCAAATAAGTCACTAGAAAATACGTAGAGCCGGGCTAGGGGAAGTATAATAAAATTTCTTGTTTCCACCGAAACAGAGATATATTAATAAATATGAATCCTTTTAGTTTTGATAGCCGAACATGCCTTCCCCGTGATGCCTTTAAAGTTAAAGCCCTAAAAATTTAATATAAATTCGCCGGTGGGGTTACGTTTTGTTAATACGTGATTTTTTCGGAACTTTACATTTATATCCCTGTCTTTTATACTGGAGCCATGTTCTTTACCCATGGGTAGTTTGGGAATTAACGAAAATGCCAGCTAGGCGTTATGTGACATTGGGCGGGAAAATGGATTAAGAAGGAAAAGGGTTTTCCTGTACGCGAGGTGTATCTTCTTATGGTGCGCTATTGACATTGTGAGATCTGATGGATCAGATGTTGACACGTGAATTAGACTTTTGTCTAGCTTGATGATGACTAGTTTGACTTCGCAAGTTACGGTGTACGATCGTCCAACTACGTGGACTTCTAACCTAATCGTGTCACTACAATATTCTCTCTGCTTAGGTGTTAGTGGGCACGTGACACGACGTCGTATTGTGTTCGTATTTATCGTTAATATTCTTTTATCTGTTTTCTAAAGTTTGTAATTTGATAAATTCTACTAATAACTAAGAAATTTTAACCATGCAATTTTTTATTTATTTATAAATTCAGTTAGATGATAATATTCAACACTAAAATGAGCTTTAGATTATAATAACTGGTAAAATAAAACTTTGTCTAACAGATTACGTTAGAAATATAAAATAATATCTTATAAAAATATACAATTCTAAACTATACTCCCTCTGTTTTAATATAAGTGTCACTCTACAGTTAAGCACACGGATTAAGGAAACAATTAATTTTACATATTTCCTATATAAAAACACAATTACCCATACACCTAACCATATTTTAACCAATAGAAAAACAAAATACATAATAAAATTAATAAATTTTACATTGAAAACCGAAAACGACACTTATTTTGTAACACAAAAAATTATCTACAATGACACTTAATATAAAACGGAGGGAGTATGTATTAAATAAAGAGACTACATGTAATCTCCCACGATGGTCGAATGCTGCATCCAAGTAGTACATTACACATTTTTCAAATAATTAAGAACTTTTGATATCATTTGATACGTACTTTCTGACTAATATTAGAAATACACACGATGAGACTTCCCATGATTATTTATCTGTCAAAAAAATATACACATTTTTATATATTCATTATCTATCGAATTCTCAATTTCCTGTCTATGCAACGATTTTTATTTTATTTTCTTAATAAATATATATTTAGAAACTCGATAAAAAAATATAATGTTTGAGTAAAATATATATTTAAAATAAAATTATCTGTGTGAAACAAACTTTGTTTTTAAAACAGTTTTTGGAACGGAGGGAACCTGTGTTTGTTGGTTTGAAGACTTAAACTGGGAACTGATTCGTCATGTTAGTACAGTGCGGTCATGATTTGTTTTATACAAGAATGTCGGTTAACCACATGCTTGCTTCGGGGTCTTGAGAGCCAAAATCATGATGAATCCTAAACTGTTTGTTACATATTTTAGGCCTAAATAGACGGGGATCGAACGGATGGGACTGAATTAGTCTACAAACAATCAAACATCCTTAACTGCAATTTCTGTAACATTAATGGTGAAATAAAAACTTTTTTGGTCAAATAAATGCCAGCCAACATTTATTTATCGCTTACCTTAGTTGTAAACTGTAATTATCATGAAATGAAAAACAAACAAAACGATTCATTTTCTAGATTTCTTTAGTCATATGTTAATTGTGTACGTCGTCCCATGTGAGATATTTTCTAAACCCAACTGATAAGGTAGGTAAACAATATGAAAATGAGTACCACAAGTCTCTGTATAAATCCAAACTATGAGTGGCCAACCACTAGGTAAATTTGTAATCCATGCACGTTCCCCGTAAATAAAAGATGCAATTTAATGAAAACATTTTAAAAAAGGAAACTAAATGAGTAGTTATTTTTTGAGAAAAATTGAATGAATAATTTGTTCTCAAATGATGGTAAAACGTTTGAACATACATTGATGCAAATATACATGTTGCAACTCCATGTAATTCACAATGCGAGAATTTCGTAAGACAGGAAAAGAAAACAACATATACATGAAGATGGCAAAATAATATGTATTTTTTTTGTAACTGGGCAAAATAGTGTGTATAAAACTCAAAAGAACTATGGCAAGAGACGGACATATTATTTGTATAAATTAAAACCCCAAAGTAACATATAAAGAGAAGAAAAAGTACATTCTTGGCATAAAGAAGCTCCATGCTAAAATCATAATGTCGACCAAACATGATGCCTTCAAGATCACGTGCATAGAGGCGCATCACATTACCTAAACACACATAAAACGATATCCCTCATTAGTGTGCCATTACATATTTGTTAATTAAGAAAGAGAACATATTAAAACCTAACACAACACGTATATTTAGTCTTTTAGTATATATACTTGTTATTAGTAGACAAACAGGTATTTTAAATCGGGATATTATAAAGTTGATTGTTGAACTTTTAGTGAATGTCACGTTGCTTGATACTGGAAAACAGATTAGTTAGAGGTTAAGAAAGTCTACAAAAACAAATAATGATTTACATTTAATTACTAAGTGGAGATTCTCTGTATGAGTTTCTCACAATGACAATAAGAAAAGGCCAACGTAGCAAAATCGTTATTTAGCTCTTATATGTTTGTACTGTGAATCTTTTATCATTCTCTGCTTCCTCTTTCATCCATAACCCCTTATATAATTCACTCTAATATGAATTTTATTTGTCCGCTAC